GGCCCACCTCCTAATACCATCACCTTGGGAGTTAGGTTTCAACATATCACTTTGGTGGGAACACAAACATTTAGGCCATAGCAAGGTAACTTAGGGCAAGAGTCACTTCCCTGGAAGTGTAATACAAACCTTCAGGTGGACATCCTGTTCTAATGATAAGGTAAGGGGGAAACAGAGGTGAGAGAGAAAAGTAGTCCTCTTTGGCTGAAGGGTGGTTAATATAGGACATTGATCAAACACCTCAGTAAACAGCACACACACAGCTGCACTGATCATCTGGGAGATCAATAGGCTTGAGCTGAAATGAGAACCATCTGAAAAGCCAAGAAATATTGCCTGGAGAATTGTATTAGACAGCATTACACTCAGTAAAGTTTGGTCTTAGCAGCTACTTGCCCTGCCTTAACTTCAGGAAGACTTTTTCATAGATTAGAATTGCCGTGGCTGGGGAAGGCTGTTGGATGCATGCAGACTTTTGCTTTGTGAGAATTGGATCAAGTCCTGTAAACTGTCTGGGGGCACTCACAAATCCTTTCACTTACAGGTGAGAACTGGATGGTGTAGGACATACTGGAAGAGATATTACTGTTGGCTCAATTTCCTTCTCTGTCTCTCTATCTCTGTCTCTGTGTCTCTGTCTTTGTATCTTCTCTATATAGCTCTGTCTCTCTCTCATTCTCCCTTTTTTTGTCCTATTTTATTCCTGGAAGCCTGTCATTAGGTGAGACTTGCCACACCACATCTTATAAAGCATTGTTCATAGAAACCTGTATAATAGAAAACACAAAACTAGAGCAGAAGTTAAAATTCAGGAAAAATTGAATTTTCCTCCCTACTATACCCACTCTCTTTAAAAAAAAGTATATGACAAGCACAAATAATTCTTTAGTAATAGAATAAAATTCCCATAATCCAGAATAATTTTAAAAAATCTAATATTCTGTTAAAAAAAAAAAAGGACTGTCATGTATATTACACACAGATCACCAATGTCCAAATAATTATACTACAATGAAATCTGCTGTATAAAAACCTAAGGACTGCTTCTGGTGATTCAGAAGGCCCCTCACAGTCTGGGAGGGCCTTGTTACATCATTATGAGTAATTCTCATTATTTAAGACTCCAACTGGGCAAATAGAGGAGGCTGAGCTGAACCTTTGCTGACATGTGGACTCCCAGGGGAAAATTTATATATAATCTGTCTGATGTAGGCTTGATTTCTTTGACATTTATCTCTTTCATGAAAGTAAAAGGCTGGGGAAAAATGTCTGTTTATTTTAGCTTTACTTTTGTTTGGGTTCAGAGAAGCAGGAGGCTTATAATCCTCTGAGCTTCTTACCATATTTCCAATCAATCATTTTCTCATCCATGATTTCACTCTATTGTTCTACCTGCCTCTGAGGCTAGAAAGAGGCAATTAGCATCATCCCCACATTATGGATTGGAAAGCAGACCTCTTATCATAAGGGAGGTGTTTCCCAGGCATTTCCCCACTTTCCTCCTATCCTTGCCCTTGATCACTTAAATTGGGCCTCTTCATCCATTGCCTTACCATAAAAAAACACAGCAGTACAGAGACATTCTTCCTTTTTAAAAGTTCTGTACTATGTGTCCCAACACTCTGCCACTTGGGCAATTGGTCTACAACCTTGGGAGCTCTTACTAAAGAGGCAACATAGTGTAGGTGGAAGGAGCACTAAGCTAGGAGTTGGGAAATCAAGACTCAAATCCTGGCTTCATCTGAAACTTCTCAGCCTTTACCAAGAGCAATTTACCAAAGAGCTTTGGTTTCCTCATCTGTAGAATGGGTTTAGTAATACTGCCCTGTATTCCTCAACAAGTTCTGATATAGAATGAATGAGTTAATTGGCAGGGAAGCCTGTGTAGAGCCAGCTGGATGGGACAGCTGGGTCTTTATCTATCTCTGGGACCCACTTTTGTGGAGTTTCAGTGGGTGTCAGGTTCTCATGAAGAGGCGTTGAGAGCTTGGTCTGAGCTTTAGCATTTTGCAGGCACTCAGCTGCCTGAGTAATGAAGCATCTGTGAAGAACTCCCCTCTTAGTTGAGGTTCAAATTCTTCTCTTGATGGGGGTCTGGTGAGGTATGGAGGTCAGTCTCTCTGGGAGAATGACCTGAACTCTTGCCACTTAGCTTCTGTCATTTACTCTGACTTTGCAAGTGGCCAGGTCTCACCTGGAGATACAGCATGTGGACCCAAGAGGTGTGATTTGAGAGCCTCCAGAAAGTGCTTCTGTCCACATTTATCTCCCTATCCTTTCTGAATTCCACAATCAATGTCAGCACTGTCCTAAAGGACTTTCTGAGATGGTGGGAATGTTCTTTAACTGACCTGTCTGTTACAGCAACCACTAGCCACGTGTAGCCATAGAATACTTGAAATCTGGCTAGCATGACTGAGGAACTGAATTTTAAATTTTATTTCATTTTAACTAATTTAAATAACCATACGTGGATATTCAGGTAGTGTTTCTCCTTTTCATTAAGGTATTGTGTCCAGAAGACCCCTGTTAATTTGTTTATGTATTTTTATTATTTTTAAGTGAGGCCATGTGGCCAAAAATGAGGTTCTGACATGTGCATGGGGACAAGGGAGGGGAGAGGAGAGGAAACTTTCAAGGAAGGCCAGCTTGCTCGCTCCCAGGAGGCCTCTAGGGGAACATCTGGTTCTCAATCTTGCAGGCTCAGAAACTGCATTTTTCAGGGCATGGAGAATCAGATTAATCTTCAGAGTTGTGAGTCCCTTAATAAAGTTCCCAAAACTGATACAATCAATCATAAAGCTAACACGTGGACGTGCAAGGAAACGAATACCCACCTAACCCTGGGAGTGTGGAGGGGGGCTAGTACTTTTCTGCATGGAATCTGGAGTCTGCCAAAGAGGTGCTTTGGTGACCATGGCTCCAAAGCACATGTCCATAAGATGACTCGAATGGACTCGAATGGTCGATGTGGCCATGCACTCATTGCAAAGTAGATCTTATCTGTCCTGGGAATGTTCTATTTCAGTTTCAGACTATACTTCTCTTTGTGAATGGTTCTTGGGTAGTTATCCACATGTTTTGCATCAGGCCCTATTTTCTAACCTTTTATTGTTGAACACCCCATGCCTATTGACACATTCTTTCTTTAGTTATGTCACACATACAGTGAGGTTTCTGTCTTGTATCACACACCTGGGAGACATTTATCTCTTTAATACAACTTAGCCTTCCTCTTCTCTTAACAACTGTGGGTTGACATCACAGTTTAACTCTCAGAGGAGAGTTGTGTTTCCCTTGCTTCCAAAGTCCTCACTGGCTACATGTATTTGCTGTAAGGGGAACATATTTATTAGCATATTGAAAAATAGCTCAGTGTGCTCAGGGGCTGATAATAGAAATGCTTATTGGGACCAGATAGTAACTAAATGAATGAAGAAGGCATGATAGTGGGCTGGTTGGTGTGGATGCCTTAGAAGTAGACAGCTGGTGCTTAGCTGAGGCTGTTTATAGCAAGACTGTGAGCCTAGAGTTGCTGGATCTTCTGATTTTTAAAGAGAAGTTAATGGATGTTAATGTGAAATGTCTTGATTTTTAAGAGTTGGAAACTAATTCAGTTAAAACCCAACATTGAGTACAAGCCTAACACAATATATAACCAAGGTGGATTGAACCCATGGTCACCATCTTGGAGTTTCTGGGTGTTGTGGGAAGTCCTGGCCTGAGACTGTGCCTTGTTGGGTCCTAGTCCAATCCCTGCTTCTAAATCAGCATGAAGTCTTGGGGAAGGCACAATATCCTTGCTACTCAAACCCCTCCTCTGTGATTCAAGAGTGCCAGGTGGGACGATCTCTAAGATTCTGTCTTGCTCTGCATTAATCGGCCAGGGCTGCCATAACAAAGCACCACAGACTGGGTGGCTTAAACAACAGAAATTTACTTTTTTCACAGTTTTTGAGGCTAGAAGTCCTCAAAAAGATGGCAGGTTTGGTTTCTCCGAGGCCTTTCTTCTTGACTTGCAGTTGGGCACCTTCTTACTGTGCCCTCACATGGCCTTTCCCTCTGTGCACACGCATCACGGGAGTCTCTTCTTCTTCTTGTAAGGCCATCACCAGTCCACCTGTATAACCTCATTTAATCTTAATTATATATCTACAGGCCATATCTCCAAATATAGTTACACTGAGGGTTAGGGCTTCAACATATGAATTTGGGGATAGGAAGACACTTTTCAGTGCTCTTTGAGTGTATATTTTGTTAACAAGGTTACTGAGGCTAGACCATCATTCTGACATCTGTTCTTCCCTTTGCCCCTCCAGATCTGCCCTCCACCTCAATCCACTATGCCCTGCAACCTGGGGAGACTGACCTCTATGGATGATATCAGTGGGCTTCCTTGCTCTCTGGCTCTGGTTAGGTTCAGCCAGTGGAGAAGCTGAGAAGTAGATGGAGAAAGGAAAGTGAAATTGGGATAATTTGCTCCCTAGCAACCTTGCTTCAAGGTTGCCAGGGTCTAGCTGTGCCCCGTGTCTGAAGATCATTGCTCTCATTAGATAGCTTCTCTGTCTCCATGTTTTCCACATTTTCCTTGGCCCTCAGACCCAGGGCGTGGTACTGCCTCTACTGTTATGCACCCTGGGACATAGCACTGCCCCTATGGCTTCCCTATACCCTTCCACAATCTTGAGAAGTTCTCTTTATTACACTTTTCTCAGATCTCTCAATTTGTGGGTGCTGGTACTCTGATACAACAAAGAGTATTAAAGAATCTCATCCTTGGATCATCTGTCCATCCCTTCCTTTTGCATCCTCACTCTCCTTGCTCCAGTTTCCAGACAGCTCTGCTTCAGCCAGGGGTTTGGCTGGCTTCCCTCAGGCCACACATTGTTTCTCTGAGGTGAACCACATCATGACTTTTGCTCTCTGAGCGGGTTTGCTATTATCCCATCACAGTCCCTTTAGACAAGGGTAGAAGAAAGGGCTGAAAAATGTTGTCCTCTGCAGCTGGGCTCTAGGCTCTGTGTTGCTGAGGTGACTGTGGCTTTCTGACTCCTTGCCCTAAGTAAGTAGACATTGCTTCAAGGCCTATAAAATGTGTTTAGAGTGAGATTTACCCTGTTTCCTCTCATGGTCACAGACCTCTGGGATTAGATCAAGTTCCCTCCTCCATCTATAATACACACATTGACAGCCTCACTCCTCACTTGTTCAAGTTCCCTCCACTAAGGTTTCAGAAACTGCTGGTTATAGGTATAGATGAATAGAGCAAAGTTGATAATGCCTTCACTAATCCAAGTGAAGGAAAGGAAGACAAATCATAGAAGGTAATTATAATACAAGATGGAAGTAAAGTAAACACTTAGTTAGTCAAGTGTTAGGGGTTGGATGTAGCCGGACAGTGGTTCAAAGGTAAAGGCCCCAGACTCAGGCTCCCTGAGTTCAAATCCTGCTTCATTATTCAATAATTTTAATACCTTGGGTAAGAAGCCTAACTTTTTAAAATTTGTTTTCCTAATCTCCAATGTAAGGGCTTTAATAGGTTGTTTTTGCTAGGAATAAATGATGTATAATACCTATAATGTGTTTAGGCCAGTGCCTGGCATATCCTACGTGTTTATTAAATGTTAACTTTTATATTTACTTAGTAAAACTTGTACAAACAAGGATAAACTTGTTTAGGAACTATTAATCAATCTAGCTGCTATATGAGAAGATATTCATTAGGAAAAAGAGCACGAAAAGCTAGTATAAATTATATCAAAGAGGACAGTGAATTCCAGGGTGAAAGATTTGTATGTAATTCTGCAGACAGTTGAAAAGCCATTAAAAACCAGGATTCTAGACAGGGTTATGTATGTATGGGTGAACTTTAAGAAAATTAGTCTAGGATGAAGGTGGAGGGGAAGGGGGTAAAGGTGTAAAAGTGGGCATTGAGTCTATTATTATTATTCAGGGAAATAGCTAACAAGACCTGCTTTAGGGGAAAGTTGATAAATAATGGTCAAATGCCTAATACCTAACAGAACTAGTTTGGCAGGAGGCAGAGAGACTGGAAATTGAAGTGTTTAGAGCCATTCACAGTCAGAGGACACTTGGAAATTAAAAGAAGGCACTTAAAGCTAATGTCAGTCAATGATAAAGTGACAAACACTTTACAAAATTCTATTTTAACACATAATTTGTCAGGAACAAAACTACAGAGCTCACCAAGTGGTGCTGGCACTAAGGAGTCAAGAACCCTGGCTTGGAGGTAAGGTAGGGGAATGGGGCATAAATGTACATTCTCTTATGTGGGAAGCCACATGTAACAGCATGTGGCAGGAACTCAAGAAGCTGACGACAGTCATCAAAGAGCATGTACACATGTTTGTTCAGCCCCCCTCACAGCTCCTGCCCCATTCTGACGAAGAAGGCTGTTAACATTTAGTCAGTGTTCTATTTAGAAAGATAGTGCCTTGGCTGGTATTTTCACTTGTAAGAGCTGGCTGTCCTAAATGCAGTAGGAAACTGCCCTGAAACCCACACACCAGGCCAAGAAAGGTACAGGGTAGGGCCAGATTATTTTCCCTGAGAAATGACTGTTAGTCAAGAAATACAGTCTTTGGGGATGGAGCCAGAATAAAGAGCTCTAAGCCCTCTGTACTCACCTGGAAGGAAGAAGGATCTCTAAAGAATGGTCAGATGGAGACTTAGCCATAGGATACTGAAAGGAAACTCAAGTATCTAATCCAGCAAGACTTCTGAGCACTTTAGATCCCTTTGATAAGCCTCACATCCAATGGGGGAGCACCTTCAGGTAGAGATGGAGATGATTTCCTTGTCACAAAGCCAGAGGCTGTCTAAGTGGTCAAGGTCCTTTTCAGAACCAGATAGTCCTTCATAAAGTAGGGCTACCTGGTGAGACGTCCAGCAAGAACTCTGAAATGGCTGACTATAGGAGCTGTCCATGGTGCTGTAGTTACCCTTGCTTGAGCCCATTTGATAGTTTCTATTCACTGCTGTCTGACAGGTGGTGTGCCAGGTATTTTACATACATTGTGTTCTTTAATCCTCCTGGCAACCCTGCAAGGTTAATATTGTAATCAGCTACCTTGTTTCTACAGATGAGGAAACTAATACTCTGAGCTTTACTTTTTTGCTTTATTCAGTGTGAACAACCTGAATAACTTCTTCACACATCATATTTGAGGACTTCCAGCCTAACGAAGAGAGGATATCTACTTAATACCCTTTCTCAAGTCTGTGTCAAGAGATATTGTTCCTTTCAAAGATGGTGGCAGTGGAGATGTACACCAAAGGCAACAGAATAATGTCACAGGGGAGTCTAAATTTAATGAGAAGGATTAAGCATGTATAGCCATATTTTAACCTATTGATTAGAAAGAAGTACAGGAACTTGAAACATGCTTGCTAAAAGAGAAATAAAAATCAACGCCTCCTAATTAGGAGAAATTGAATCGTGGTTTGTGTGTGTGGGTGTTTTTGTTTGTTTGTTTTTTGTTTTTTTTGTGTGTGTGTGTGTGAAGACTAGCAAGACCTTGTTACTCTTTAAAAATTTTATCCTTTTTCTTTTCCTGGCTATAGGGTGAAAAAATAATAGGTACCAAGGCAGACAAAGTAGAAGTCAGACAAGGGCTATCCTTCATTAAATTGGAAGAAATTTTTTTTAGGGCAGTTGAAACCATGATAAAGGAAAATGCACGTGAGCTTTTGATGGCAAACATTTCTGAATCTCAGGGCCTGACACATTGTTGGGGTTAAAGAAAAGGTTTTTTCTCAGACTCTAATGTTGCAAAAACTCCTGGTGAGAAGCAGAGTATTTAAGATAGAACTAGGGCTGAGAACCAAGTCAGACGTTCTCAATGTGGGTCCATAGACCCTGGAGGTGAGGGTAAGAAGGGAGGTTTATGACAGGGCTCCATGGGATTTATGCAAACCTTCAAAATGTGACAAAGTGTTATTTATGGATGCATTTTTTGTAGGGAGGGTTGATAACTTCCAAGAGATTCTCAGAATGTCCAGAAATATCTATAAAGTAGAGAGGCATTGGTTTAAATAGTCACTCCACAAAGTTAAGCTTCAATGAACAAAGCTTCTAATTATACCTACATATTTATATATCTGGGTTTGAAATAAGCAGCCCATTTAAGTATGACATATATGCTAATTCAAATTAATGCCTATACTCATATATTTTAGTAATGAGTTCTAGTTTTATATGAAACATATCTAATTAAGTAGAAACTGTGTGTTGTTCAATTCAATTTATTCCTTGAGGGAGCCTATAAAGTGAGAGAAAACATCAATCAGTCAGGAAGTATTTGATGAGAGCTCATGATGTGGGAAGGCTATCACTCACCTGCCTAAAATTCAATAAAGCTTCCCACATAAGACATTCACATTCTAGTACAAATGCTGGAGGTCACCCTATGTCTCCATTTATCACCAAGTGGCTCATTAACAGTGCCGACACAAGACAGCAGGGGAAACTACCAAGTGTGGTCCACTCTCCTTTTTGCCCACTCAGCACAGTTGCTTACTGAACTCTGATTGCCAAATATTTTACTCAGCTTAATGCAGGTAAGAGTCAGGAGTCAGCTGGATTTTTAAAGCCCACAGATTCAACTTGAAGGAAAAATGGGTGAGTGCATATAAAATTCCCTTCTTCCTGAACTTCAGTCCTCCCATCATTTCCTGACTCTTTCTGTATGGTGATTTAAAAAGCTCTGTGTGTGTGTGTGTGTGTGTGTGTGTGTGTGTATGCGCGTGTGTGTATGCACGCACACATACGTATGTGTGAGGTATGTAGCAACACCGTCTACGAAGAATATTTGATTTCTCTCAAGTGTCTTTGACAGCTCGGTGAGCTGACACAACCCAGAAAGCATCTGCTGTTATTTTGGGCAGGTCAGAAAAACAAGTATAGTTTAGTTAACTCGGAGCTTCCCTTGAAAAGATCTTACTGAAGGCAAAAGAGGATGTGATCAGTAGGCTGTGATCCATGGGGCCCAGAAGTTTTTGGGTGCCTATGAAGGTTGGGATTCCACAAATGTGACAGATATAAAGGACACAAGCCCTTCAGCACCATCACATCATCTTGGGACAGAGGCAGGTATGAGTTGGAGGCAGCTGTGACCTGAAATAAGCTCAATTCTGTGTAATGAAGCAGGCATGAGAGCTACAGATCAGGATTTTCAAAGATACAGCAGCAATGATGGTCAGGACCTCACTTCCCAAGACTGTGGTGTTGGGCGAGGATACTGGGCTCCTGGGTGTCAGAGTCTTAGGACTGGGAGGAACCATGAAGGCCATCCAGGTCAACGTCCACAAGGATTAAATGCATCATCTAGGCCAGATCTGGGGCTGGAACCAAGTGTCTTAACTGTCCAGTCATTACTGTTGTCACTGCCCTGCATGTCTTCGGTCCTACTCCCAGCTATCCTACTTCTCACTCCTCTTTCCTGACTCAGGAGGACTGAGGCTAGGAGATGTTCATGACATGTGTATTTCCCTAGTGGGAAGGATCTAGAAAAGTTATTCGTGTTGGTTGCTACAGTCTACTAACAGGCAAACTGGTATGGAGCCAGCTCAATTTTAGGGTTATCTTGGTAGGTTCAGAAGCCCCAGAGCAACAAAATAGGAAACAAGAACTTCTCTAGTGCTTCATATGTGTGATGTCATTTAATCATCCAATAGCCTCATGTGGTAGTAAGCACTGCTACTCTCCCTATTTTATGGATGTGGACACCTCTGAACAGAAAGGTTAAATAATGTGCCTAACTTCACACTGACAGTAAGTGGCAGAGCTGGGCTTCAAACCCAGACAGTTAGGCTCCAGTATTTTAGCTACTATTCCTTGGCTCTTAGCCACCATTTCTTCATTCTTGGAATTGTTTCTTGATTCTTGGAACAAGGCATTTAGACTCTCCTTTTTCTACATGGTTGTCTTTTCCCCAAACTCTTGTCCTTGCTTACCCCAAACTCTCACCTGCTCAAAGGAGAAAAGAGAGGAAAGCTTTTGGGCTTACATCAGGGAATACATCAAAGCAAAGAGTCCAAAGTAAACTTTGCTTGGGTGGTCCATTTTGACACTGCTTCCCAGAAGTCAGAAATGGTGGACCTAGTGGCATCTACTATTTTCTCTTCTGAATTCTACCCGGTTGTTCAGCAAGAGAGAAAGGTAGTTCATGGTGCTGACTCAACTGACACAGGTTCATAGCAACCCATGGAGATAATAGAAGGAGCATAATTTTTGAAGGAGTATGGGCTGACCACATCCTAGTGTCAGCAAATGGTGCTGTTCTCTCTGCACCCCAACCCCTGGGAGCCCTTGTTGGTATAGGAGCACAAGTCTCAGTACTCAAATTTGGGGGTATAGGGGCCTGTATTGATGTGAAGTTTCATGTATTCTTAAATAAAACTGCTACTATCTCCTCAAGTTAAAGAACTGAGAACCCTCAGCTTATAAGTTGGTGAGCGGGTAATTCATTTTCTCATGAACATCACGACTTCTTGCTTACAGTACATTATAAGCCCTTAATAAGCTATTTAAGAATTAATGTGAAGCTGAATATTGTTTTTCAAAATCATTGATATAAATTTATGGTGTGGTAAAATGAAATTACATTACATTACCAAGAAGGAAGAGAAAAATTCTGATGAAGAGAATTTCCCCTTTCCAAGTGAATTCTAATAGTGCATGTGCATGAGATTAAATCTAAATGTATTCTTACATGTCAGAATGCAGTATTGAAGTTTGACATCAAGAATGAGATGTATAGGGAGAAACTGGAATCATGGTTTCCAGGTGCTCTGGGGAAAAGTCAACTATTGGGAATCTGGGATTTGATTTTACTCTCAGCCTAGCACCAAGTCATGAATAGCACTAGCCAAACACTGATGACATTATCACGTAGAATTCTATGGATGCATTTGAAGTTGATGGCAGATGTGTAAATTCATGTCCTACCTCACCCCTTTAGAATCATGAAGTGTCAGAGCTTCTAGCAATCTCAGAGATATTCTTCATTGTTCAGATGGAGAAACTGAGGTTCAGTGAGGGAGAGGGATTTGCCCAAGTTCACACTGCAAGTTACCAGCAGAGTTAGGAATCCAAGTTAGCTAATACTTTGGGAGCAATACCTATAATCCTTGTCCAACTCCGACTTCAGCCGTTCCCTAGAGGTTGAAATGGGATCAATTTTTTTCACCCATTAACTCTGAGCTATGACATGCTCTCCCACCTAATAGCAGCTTCATGGGCCCATCAATATTAATGGGAAGTGAATGTATGGACTTGCTAGAGCTCATAAATATAATAGGGGCTGTGCTTTACACACAGAAAGATGTGCAGTTTGAATTCTTTGGAGATGTATTTCGATTTGATCCTTGCATTCTTTAGTCTGTCTAGTCTCTCAGCAAATGATGAGCTTGTGTGGCTGGGAACAATCAGTCACTGGTCTGTGGCAGAGAACATAGATCACATTGATCCTTGGCCTTCAGAAACATATTGGCAGTGTGGCTCAGAAGACTGCCATCCAGAGATACCTGCTCAAGGGCCAGGTCTCAACCTTCCCAGCCAGCCTCATCCCCCACCATTCTCTTTAGGGATTCTTACTTTCAAACTGGAGGCCTTCCTCTTGCTCCCTTTGCCTTCTCCCTGTGGTATCACTTCAGTGGCCCTGCTTTGATCACCCTATTCTCCTTTTCTTCAATGCCCTTGCTCCCAAACATGCATATATTCAAGTTACCCACCTGGCCTGTCTAAATTCAAGTAATTGTGCCACATTTATGTAACATATTGATGCCTTTGATGAAATACAGTTTTTTCTGATCCACTTTGCTGTGCCCCTTGGCATCGGCTACAATACCTTATACAGAGGTATTCTTCACTATGTTTAAGTTGGCTGAATGAATGAATGAATGAATGATTAAAGAAATGATTGAACAGTAATACAATCCTTCCCAGAATCTTTTAGCAAATCAAGGACCATAGATACTGAAGTTTTGTGATCTGACTTTTAAAAAAAGTTTTTTAAAAAAAGTTTTATTGCTACATTACAAAACATCCCAAAACTTAGTATCTTAAAATACCAAGTTATTATTTATTTTGGTTCTGTGAACTGAATTAATTTAGCTGAGTGTTTTTCACTTGAGGTCTGTCATACAGTTAGTCATGTGGAGGCTGGGGCTGCAGTCATCTGAAGGCTCAACTGAGCTTGATATCCACGATAGCACACTTGTATGGCTGGCAGTTGATGCCATGTTGGACCCATATTTGGGCACCATATTTGTTGGACCCATATTTATTGGGACTGGATCACACACACTTAGCCTCTCTGTGAGGCTTGCCTATCTCACAACATTTTATCTGGGTTTCCAAAGAGAGCATCCCAAGAGTGAGTATTTCAAGACCGCTGGGAAGAAG